ACCCCCAAAAGGATGGTGATCTTTGACTCTGGAAAAGCTATCGTCGCTACCTGCTTCCAGATCCCCCTAACTTGCTCCCACATTTTTTCTGCCTCCTTACATTCCAGTAGACAATGCACCAAAGTTTCCGGAAGYCCTTCTTGGCACACCCTGCAGAGCTCCGCTTCTTCATTCCTCTGATTGTGACTTCTTCTTTCATTGAGCCACACATTCACTGGTAATGCCACGTGCGCTATTAGCCATTGCATRCTTCTAACCTGACCCAGTCTGATAGATAGGATGTTAGACCACGGTATATCAGGTAATAGGCTCCTGGGGATCCCTACTTTCCTCTCCCAACGTTTGGTCAGAGTGCGTCCCATGGGCCTGGGTCTGTTCCTCAGTCTATACCCCATTTTTGTGGTATATTGAAGAATGTTGATTCTTCTTGCTACTCTTGACTGTCCATCTCTAATGTTCCAGGCCCATTCTCCAGGATCGACCTCTAGATCCTCGATGGGTACTGTTGAACTGTATACTGTATACTCATCCATCTCTATCACTGTTACCTTTTGTAGCCCTTGTTTGAGAATGTGCAACGGTGCTTGAGAGGACTTATCAAGTTGAGAAGTGGTACTGTTTGGCTGTATTATGTCGTATTTATCAGCTACTAGCCATTCATTCCTATCCTTGACTGTGTCCCACACTCTGAAGACCTGTTTAGGTTGCGGATCATCCTCCCATGTGGCCCAATCTCCCTCTCGCCATTGTTTTCCCTCTCTTAGCAATCGTACCCAGGATGGATGTATGGCGTCAGTGACTATTCTCAGATTGTCCTGAAGATTGTGGCACCCCTTCAACGCTCTCCTCAGTTCAGCTGCTGTTTTCCAACGCTTGTTCTCATCATCCCATATGTGCTTGATTTGCCATATCCCATGCTCCACCCATCTGCCCCATCTCGAATCCTTTAAGTGTTAGGGGTTTTCCGCCGCCGTCCCTTATGCAAATATTGCAGAAAATCGGTTGTCTTAATACCTCCTCCCTGGTAGTCGGTTCCCTGACCCTTGCTGGGAAGACCTCCTTCCACAGTTGTATTAGCTGCAGCCAATAGGAGGGGTTTCTAGCCCTCGCACCTTGTGCATCCCTGTTCTCCTTCCTATAGCCCACTTTAACCCAGCTGCTACACATGATCCAGAACAGTCCCGTCAAGTTGCCCGGTGTTTTATACAAAGCTATCTGCCTGATCCTTTCCAATACTAAGGAAATCCATGATAATCTGGGCTGTGAGATTAGCTTGACCAGCCATTTTGTTTGCAAAGCCTTCAGTTGTAGGCTCGGGTCTAGGATGCCTAGGCCCCCTTGGCCTTTGGCTCTGGTTACCGTTTTCCATGCCACCTTGGTTATGAAGCATCAGTCTGGTTCCTATTCCCCCGGCAAGTCAAATGAATTACAATGAGCACTCACACACGCTCCTCCCCCTTACGGTAGGAAGGTCCGAAGGGGCAGCATTGATTACTTCTGGGAGGAAGGATGTACCAGCCCTCAGGTCGGGATTCTGACAGTTCATGGGGGTACCAACTTGTGCTAGGCCATTTGGTAACCCCGGCTAGATCTTTCTGTGGGCCCATGCTACTGTATCTATTTCAACTTTCCTGCCATGGTACAAAAGTTCCGGAAAGCTGTGGTACTCGATATATTTAGGCCTACCGGGTGATGGCCAAGTCCTTTGTGGGCGAAATTACTTGTCAACATGTCATGGCAGTGGAAATTGCAGAACTGTCCCCCAAGGGCCATTTGAAAACAAAGAAGGACAAAGAAATAAGAATTGAAATAATTCTCAAAGCTCTAACTGATGGTTAGTAGTGAGAAATAAAAATGAAAAAGAAAAAAAAAGAAGGAAAAAAAAAACAAGAGCAAAATTGAAACACCGACATCTACAGAATTTGCACCTTTGGTATTACTTGCTGGTTGATGCAAAACCGTGGGTTCTTGGAGTTGTCGTGATTCCATGCCTCAACAAATTGGGGTGGGGGCACACATGTGTTGAGATGGTGAGGATGCTTCTGGAAAACTGCCACTTCACAGTTTGTTATGCAATGAACTTATGAAATGTAGCTAGTGCCAATGCGATCGATCTGGTCTCCTCTGGCTCTGTAGCTCTCTGGCACTTGCCTGTTTACATTTTCACCTGCTGGACTCTGTCCCATCTGTCCCATCTGTCCCATCTGTCCCATCTGTCCCATCGATTGAACTCTATTTGTTCCATCTGTCCCATCTGTCCCATCTGTCCCATCTGGCCCATCGATTGAACTCTATTTGTTCCATCTGTCCCATCTGCCCAATTTTTCACTATCTATTGCTTCTTATCTGTCAACATCCCTCCCACTCATCATCATCCTATATGTCCTTCTCTGTCACATTTTGGGCCTACGCGGGGGTAAATGTGTGCCGGAATACGACGCTGTGAAGCAAGGGCAAGGGCATCTTAATTCTTAAGCCACCGGTACGTTTCCCAGCCATTTTTCTCCAACACTCTGCCGCAACTTTCGGGGGTCGGCAGCTGGAGCAAAATTACGTGCGGGGCCAGCCAAAACAAGGCCCGCTCCTGTTCGTTTCTTGGGGTATGCAGGGCGTTTGAAGCCCCGGCCAAAAATGGTTCGTAAGTCCTGGTAGTTTTTTTTTTTTTTTTTTTTGCATATGATTTGTTGAATTATGTTCTGCGTTTGTTATTCCTGCCGCTTGCTGATCTTATTCTTGAAATTATGGCGCCAGTTCACACAACTTCACAGGGAATGCGCTGCCGTGTTTGTCATCACTGTTTAGCATCGAAATTATGGCGTCAGTTCACAGGGGATGGATGCGCTACCGCTTTTGTCATCACTGTCGAGCACTGCGTGGGCTTGTGGTTACAACACTCTCCGACTTGGCTGGGCAACCTCTTATGTCAGATATGCGTTTAGGTGCGCATGGCGGGTGGGTGGCACGCCACCGGTTAACCCCTCCTACACAAGCCGAGTTGGCGAGCCCAGCAAATAACACAGTATGTGCTGATTTCAGTGATTTGTATAATCTTACGCATGGTGGCAGACTGTCTAGCACAGAGAACGTGCTTGCCCAGCACGTCATTTAGCAGAGTAAACAGGCCTCACATTATGTCATTCTGAAGTAAAGCCTCACCTGAAGGACACTCCCAAGGGCTCTTTGGGCCGCTATGTGTGCAGAATGCAATAGTTTTTCAAATGGCAGACCTCTAGGGTTTTCGTCCAGTGAGTGGAAGATTTGAAAAATTGTGCATGCGTTTGTTCTCGAAAACCCATCTGAAAAAGGGTACTCTAAACTTCTGAAGGGGCCTTTTAGATCTTTCCTGTACGCAAGCTGAATGTTGCCCTTTTTTTGCTTTTTTCCCGGGGCCAAATCAAGAAAGTATTGATTGATTTGATGGTAAATTGATACTGATCTCTTCTGACCTTAATTTGGCGAAATACTGCTCACAGAGTAAATTGATACTGAATTCCAAGCTGAAACAATCTATTGCCCCTTTTTTTGGTTTGTCGGAAAGGTTTATGAAGCACTGGAAAGGCGACTGGTGTCGATGGAAGCGGCGCAGAGATTGCGTCTTCCCTTGGTTAACCTGGAGTCTGACGAGCCAGACAAGGATGCGAACTTCGAGCTACTGAGAGAGGATGGGAGCCACCCAGACGAGTTTGGCGTGTGGGGCTCTGTCAAGCACATGCTCGGTGTCCAGCCAAATCAACTGCAAGGGTCACATCAACGCGAGGGAGCACTCTTTCTACAGGTACCGTTGGGTGCCTGGTTCGGATTGTTGCTTAGAATGCGTCGGGTTAGGTTTGGGTGTTGAGCGGTGGGCGGTGGTGGGTAGCTTTGGCTGGGTTCCCTTGGGGTTTTTGGATTGAACTTTGTGAAGTAAGTTTGGGTTCGGGTTGTGGTTTGATTTTGGTTTTTGTGTTTTTTGGTGTGGTTATGGTTTGTACAAATTCTTGATTCTGTATTCGTATGTGCGGCTGATGTGTTCGACTTTCGTCCTATTTTCGTTGTTGAGATCGGTACAGGAACGGTCGCCACTTATTTTGGAGGTCGAAGCAAGGTTGAAGGATAAATGTGACAGACTGACAGCAGCGCTTGATGCCGGCGCATGTAAACACACGTTTGCTCGCTCACCGTTTCTCAAACCTATGGATGCCTTTGCCTACCCTTTGCTTCCTAAACTCGTTTTTCCTGTGAAATCACATGTCAAACGATGATTTTTATAAATTTTTATCATTTTTTATTGTTTTGTCTAAAGACTTTAAACCACCAGTAGTACATCCCAGCCATCGGCCGCAGGCCTCTTTCGGAGGCCGCCCGCTGTCGATCGATTTTATCGATGGCACGCGAGCCTCGGAAATTTTAGGAGAGGCTCAATTGGACTCTCAGCTTGGTTGGGGCCACCATGTACTGGTGCTCTAAAGTTTACACTTTGCCAAAGTCACAATCGCAACATGTTAGGGGGATTGAACCCATGACCTCGCATGTATATACGCTGTGTACATGTGGCAAATCCTGGGTGCAAACAACCCCTCCCTCACTCCCACCCCTGCCCCCCTGCCCCCCTGTCCTCAGAGCCTAAAATGAAGGGTTCCTTTTTTTATATATATAAAGGGTTTCATTTTACATGATGGTTGATTATGATCTGCTCTTTTTTTGGTGCCAGGTCACTGGTTCGATTCCTGCTGTTTCCCCCAAATAGAATGTACGGTCATTATAGTTGTATTTGGGGCAAATTTCAGTCTCGATACAGTGGTAATGACCATATGTTCGATTCGGAGGGAAGACGGTAGTGAATTGGGCTTGGACGTGTTGTGTATTAGCAAGGTCCTTGGAGGCCAAGGACTGTCTGACACACACTCCTGCCCCTCTCCGCAGGGAATGAAATGTTTTTGGAGACCGAAGGTGGGGACATAAGTGTGTGCCAAACCGCTTGGCATTTGCTTCGTTGTTCAGTTCTCCCCCCTTTTTCCCCGCAGGCCCTCCCCCCCCCCCCCCCCCCCCCCTCCCCTGCCACATCTTTTCCTGCAACGTTTTGGCTGAGGAAGTGCTGCAGAATGGGCGCCGACCCCTCCCAACACACACCCAAAGCTCCTCACTTGTCCCCTCAGTACGGTCTTCGCCGGAACAGAACGTGCCCTCACCACGCCTGTATCAGACCGCAATGGTCATTTGTATACATTTGTAATCAGGGTGGATTCTGTTTGGAAGAAAATGGTAGAGAAGCAGGAGAAACAGCAGTGCAAAGCATATTGCCAAAGAAGTTTGAAATACGTCCAGAGTCACGTCATGGACCAATGATGCTCTGACATCAGCATGATGAGATTTTTGTGACTACAAAGATGCGTTTTGTAAATCCCACTTCTGTAGAAAGCTCGATGTGTTGTACTTTGTTTTTTTCGTGCGACATAAAAATGCACACTATATTTTAATTTGTTCTTGGTTTTCGTCATGTGACTCAATTCATGGTCTGTCATCAGTCATGTCGAGGAGTATGCAACGGTGTCCCATCTTCTGTTTCTAATTTTTCATTCATAAATATTAAATATGGTTAGATAATAAATATCTCATACAATATAACATTGTGAAAATACAGGTAGGGTTAGTCAAACATTTTCCAAAAAAAAAGGGAAAAAAAAGGTTAGTCAAACATTTTAATTGGAAGAGAAGATAGGAAAAAGGTTCAAAAAGCAGAATAACAAACATATTAAGTCAATAAATGATGAAATTCATTAATTCAACAACAATAAGTTCACAATATTGGTATTAACAACATATGTCTAATATATTAATATTGTATCATACTCTAATTTTATAATATATATATCAGTGAAACTCCAATGAAACAGTCAGTTGGTCACAGCCCCTCGTTTGTTGTCCTCTTTTCCCTCTCTGCCAACGGTTCACCGCTCAGTTCTCTATGACAATATATACTTATATACTATATAGTATAACGACAAGACCAATACGTGTGCTAGAATCAATAATACTAAGTATTATTAACTATAATCACATAATGTAATAATTATAATAATAAAATACACTATAAATTTAGTATAAATACTATAAATTAACTTAAATAAGTAAAATAACAATAGTAATGGTAATAAAACGCTGTGTCAATGACAACACCAGTATTTGTGCTAGAATCAATAATACTAACTATAATCACATAATGTAATAATAATAATAATAATAATAATAATAATAATACACTAGAAAATTAGTATAAATTAAGTAAAAATTGTAAAATAAGAATTGTAATGGTAATAAAATGTTGTATCATTAGGTGACTCGTACCGCAAGGGTCGGGCTGACTCTTCTTCAACACTGTTCTTCCGCTTTCTTTGTTCTTTGTACTCATGCTTGTTGGTGAGAAGCAACCAGACTGATGCCCCGCAGAATAGAATGGGCCACGGACAATTTTGTTAAAACAAAACAAAACAAAACAAAAAGGTTGTATCATTAAACACTTTTAACCAAATCTCTTTATCTCATATCCGTACTTGTACTCGATAGCCGGTTGTGGTTGGAAAGGGATTTGGCATCTGATACTCGTCTTCTGTGGGTGGATGTAACTGATGCAGTGGAAGCCTCCGCATCAACAGCCGGGATACGACTCCCAGAGAGGTACCTCCTCCACCCTTCCCTTAGGGATGTACTCTTCTGACTCCGGTCCGGAAGGTGTGCAGAAGAGTATAGGAAAGGTGCCAACAAGTATAGCATCAGATAGGGGCGTTTTATTTTCGTGAAAGACTGGGATGTATATCATCGGAGGGGGGGGTGTTGTTTTGATTGGAAGGGGTGTCATTGATCCTGGATTTGGCACAGGAGGGTCATGTCATCTGAAACCCCAAACCTGAAAAGTGTCAGGATTGATTTGCCAGCAAGGGAGCGGAAGAGAATGGCCATCACCGTAGAAACAGCCTCACGGACTTCAGAGAAAGAAGAAAGCCATTCTGCGGATGCATTTAACCCCAAACCCGAAAAGGATTCAGAAGAAGTTTCAAGCCATTCTGCGGATGCATTTAACCCCAAACCCGAAAAGGATTCAGAAGAAGTTTCAGGCTTGCGAAGTCGTGAAAGTGCGTCAGAACGTTTTTTTTCTCTTCTCCACGCAAGTTCGCAACTTGGCAGTTTGCAGAGTCCAAAGATCGAGTCCAGATGCAAATGGATGGGTATTGATCGGCTCTTCGGATGAAACTGAAGCTTTTTCTACTCCATGCCGTAAAGGCAAAAGTGGGCCTCAGTCGGTACACCATTGACCTGTTGAAATATAGACCTGATCTCGAACTTCACTGGAAGCAGATGAGGAAAATACTACAATTCTGAATTACCTACCTTCTTCCCCTGAATACAGCGTATGGCCATTATAGCTGTATGTAGACTGAAAGATACCTCAAATACAGCTTTAGTGACCGTACGTTGTATTGGGAGGAAGAAGGTGGGGCCGGTCAGTTCGATGACCATATCTCGAGGCTGTTGCCCTTTCTTTTTTTCAAAAAAAGAAAAAAAAGAAACAGAAGGACAAAGGGAAAAAAGAAAAAAAGCTGCCCCTTGCAAGGTCCTAATGCATGCCCCAGGACCCATCCGGAAAAGTGGGACAGGCACGATGGAAAACTGGATCAATGGGAGGAGGGTGGGTCCACGGGGAAGTTCCCACTGGAATAACGAGCCGCCATCGGCTGTGCGTTTAAACCTTAACCTGCGCCATCAACCCAAACCTTAAACCCTGAACCTAAACGACCGACCTAAACCCTAAACCTTAAACGCTAAACCCAAACCATCAACTTTAACCCCAAACCTGAACCTGAAACCCTAAACCTTAAACCCTAAACCCAAACCATCAACCTTAACCCCAAACCTGAACCTGGAACCCTAAACCTAAACCCTGAATATAAGGGCTGAACATAAGGCCTGAACCTAAACCCTGAATCCAGTTCTGAATCTAAACCCTGAGGCTAAACCATCAGCCTAAACCCTAACCTCTGGACCTAAATCATCAACCTAAACCCTGAACCTCGAACCTAAATCATCAACCTAAACCCTAAACCCTGACCCTAAACCATCGACCTACGCCATAAGTCCTTAACCTAAACTATCAACCTAAATCCTCAACCGTGTATATCAGCCTGGGTGGTTTGATGCGGCACCAAAGTCTTGTGGTGGGGGTGCCAGCTCACATCAGGCAAGAATCTCAAGAATGGGCTGTGCAAGGCCAAGGGCATGCCCACTCTGGGACTTTCATAATTTAATCCGGTCCTTTTTCCCTCTAATATGGTACACCAGAGAAAGTGCACCTGCAAATATCCCCTAGGAGTGGTAGCATCCGAAAATGAAAAAAGGAAAAAAAAATAGAGGCCGCGGGTAATGATGAGGTAACCTGGGAGAGGGCTGACAGTCATGATGAAGCACATACAGAGAAGAGATGCTACCGTACCCTACCCTACCCTACACTAACCTACCCTGCCCTTCCCTACCCTACCCTATCGTACCCTACCCTGCTCTACCCTACCCTAGCCAACCCTCCCCTACCCCACCCTCCCCTACTACCATACCCTACTCTACTCTACTCTACCCCTACCCGTACCCTACTTTCCCCTACCCTGCCCAGTCCTACTCTACCCTACCTTACTCTACCGTACCCTACGCCTACCCGACTTTTCCTTACTGTACCGTACCCTACCCTACCCTACCCCTACCCCTACCCTACTCTACCCTACTCTACACTCCCCTACCCTACCATCCCCTACCTACCCTACGCGGCCCTACCCTACCCTACCCTATGCTGCCCTACCCTGCTGTACTCTGCGCTACTCTGCCCTATCTACCCTACCCCCTCATCCTTTAATAGTAATCATTATTATATGCAGCAGATAAGTCTGTATCCAGAGTGATCTTCTATGTATTATGGTTACCATGGAACTAGTATGATTCCCATGTTCACAATGTCTTGATGGACGGTTCTGATCATCCTCTTGAACCCATACGAGGGAGAAGTGGACGGTTCTGACTGTTCAGCTGAGCTCATGTGAGGGAGAAGTGGACACTGCTGATCATCTTGTTGACTTCATGTCAGGGAGAAATGGAAAGTCCTTTTGGAGTCATGTGAGGCAGAGAGGACAGACTGAGTGTTCATTGCTGATGCTATTCTCATTGTGGTTGGCAGGGTGTCAATGGCTGTGACAGAGTTGTCCCAGGAGCGGCAGACATTACTACAGGACTTCTATTCAGCAGACCGCAAGCTATCCGAGTACTATAGCGTACGTCTTTTCCATCCTATTGGTTTGCCTTTTTCATCCTCCTTGTTCGATCCTATGGATTTGTTCACTGGAGGGAGTATATATGTCCTTATGCATTTTCATATTATTAGTAATTTATTACATTAGGAGAAAGTCTTTCTGTAAAATCGAGACAGAAGGAAAAAGGAGAAAAGTCCTTTCGACAATCCAGAGGTTCTGAATCCTTAGTGCGATGATTCAGCACCTCAGTCAGCCAGGAAAAGGCCCCGCCCGCCCTAACTGAAGGTCGGTCTGCAAACATGAAGCCTGGCCTGACTTCAGGCCAATGTGATCAGGATGGGGACCGCAGGTCGTTGTTGCACGCGTGCAGCATCTGCAACCAACCGGTAGGTAGGCCTACCGACCGGTAGGTAGGCCCACGAGTTAGTTGAAGATGCTGGGCCTCGTGCAGATTCTGGAAGGGCCCAGGGCGCAGGACACAGGGACAGGGCGCCGCAGCCTGGGCAGAGCCTCCCTGGCCTCTCCAGCCATCACAAAAGATGGGAGGCCGCCCTTGCTCACATGTTCGGGCATTCAGGCATGTGGCAGCGCTGCTCCAGCGACTGCTTGACGCTGCGCCCAAGGAGGAAGCTGCGCCGTGGCAGCGCGGTAAGAGAAGAAGAGGGAGAACAGCAGCCATAGCCAGGTTGCTCGCTCCATTCTGGCCTTTCCCAAGAAGATTCCGGTAGGACCCGGTAGGCACAGGCCCAGACCTCACACGCAGGCCCAGGGCCTGATGGTTGCATGTGCCCAACTGCCCTTGGCCTGCTTACGGCCTTCCTCACGTGTCTGGCCCAGGTCACCGTTCAGATACATTTGCAAAACATGGCCTGGGCCTGGGCGCTTTCAACCAACTGGCGCAGCGCAACTGTCTGAATTTCCCCAGTTGCGGGGTACCCTGAAAATCGAGGCCCTGAGAGCCTGTCGCGCCTGCCTTCACTTAGGGCGGCCGACGTGCTGCAAAAAGGGGCCCAAAAAGGGCTGAGCGGGCGTAGCCTCGCATTCCCTCCTCCATATCTTCGTTAGTCCTCTGAGAAGATCAATCCTGAGCCATCTGGCACTTTCCTTTCAATACATCCTTCTCATAGCGGGCAACGATTTGAGGAGCGGTCTGCATCAATTCCTCCCGAGTAAACCAGCGGTCCTCCTTCGGATCAGTGTGATGTCTGAAGTGGACACGAAACTGCAGCTTTGGCTTTGGAGGACGTCCCCTTCCTGGAGGCTACTGAACGGGCATCTCCCTGTGGTCAACGATATCATCGATGTCGACTTCTCCGTCCATGGTTGGGGCAGCATTGACCGACGAGAGGGAAACTGATCAGTTTCCTCGAACGCAGCGAGCTTAGAGGCGTGAAAGACTGGGTAAGTTCTGAGATGACCAGGGATACGGATGACATAAGATGGACCATCAGGATCTGTCCCTACTACGTCTAAAACTTCCCAAGGTCCAAAGTATTGAGGCATGAGTTTGCGGGATATCCCGAACTCCTGTCCCAGGTCTGAAGACTTGACCCAGACTCTGTCCCCAACCTGAAATGTAGAAGGGCGGCGGTGTTTATTCTCAGATTCTATCATTGCTGCCTGTGCCTTCTGCATGTGCTCTACAGCCTCCTGCATTTTCTGTTTGTAACGGTAAGCGAACTCCAAAGTGCCCCGTGTAACAGTTGGCTGGTTATCAGGAAGTAGGAAGTCTAAAGGCAGTCGGGCCTAAAGGTAAGATGTAGACTGTTAGGACTTACCCCGGTAGCGCTGTGTACAGCGTTATTGTACAGACTGGCGACAAGAGCAAGTTTCTCGTCCCAGTCCACCTGATTGGGCTTAATGTAATGCCTCAACAGGTGTTGAACAACGCGGTTCATCTGTTCAGCCTGGCCGTTTGCTTCTGGATGGTTTCCAGAAGTCATTTGCAGTTGAGTTCCCCGTTCAGCTGCAGCGGCCTTCCATAACTCACTTGTAAATCTGACATCCTTGTCACTTACAATAGACCTAGGCAATCCAAAATCCCTCACCCAATTCTCCTTGAACAGCCTGATTACATACTCGGTCTTCGCTGTTTCCGGCATGGCTATTAACCTAGCATACTTACTAAACCTATCCACGATGACGAAGATCTGCCTCATCCCACTCTTGCTGGTGACCAGTGTATCCATGAAGTCCATGGACAAGCTTTCACCCGACCTTTCTGGAATCGGAAGGGGCTTGAGTAGCCCAAGAGGAGCCTGAGTACGGGGCTTGTCTCGTTGGCAAACTTGACAAGTTTCCACGTACAGCTTAGCATCTTTTAACATCGTGGGCCACCAGAACCTTTGCAGCAAATTGGCTGCGGTCTTCTTGTACCCAAAATGGCCGGTGGCGTCATGACACTTGCCTAAAAACAAACTACGCAAAGACTCTTTATTAGGGACATACAAACGTTTATTCCCTTCCTTCTCGAGAAACAGCAAGCCATTGACCAACTCAAACTCGGCTGAAGTTTGTTTATCCTTCGCCTCGAGTCTGTGTATGATCTCAGTCATAAACTGGTCCTCTCGATAGGCTTCCACCAAGGATCAAGTGACATCATCCGTAAGATCGTACTCAGTAATCAGCGCACCTGAGAAGTCAGGTCTACGCGACAAGGCATCAGCAACCTTGTTGTACTCACCCTTAATGTACTGAGGGTCAAAGTCATACTGCTCAATGACTTCTATCCAATGCTTCAATGCGTCAGAGAGTACAGGTTGGGTTCTCATCCATCTCAAGGTCTGATGATCAGTCCTGAGGATGAAGAACCTCCCAAGGAGATAGTGTCTCCAATGGGTCAGCGCCTTGAACACCGCATAGAGTTCTTTCTCATAGGTGGACTTAGCCAACTTCTGAGACGGCATTTTCTTGGACATGTACTCAACAGGCCTCAACTTTGGCCCCTCCTGCTGCGCGAGCACGGCGCCAATGCCATATTGGCTAGCATCCGTGGTTACTATAAACGGCTTATCAGGATCGGGAAGTTTCAAGACTTCATAATGCGTTAGTGCATGCTTCAAATGTCTGAAAGCAGCCTCGCACTTATCTGTCCACTCCCACGGGGTGTCAAGGCGAGTCAGATCAGTCAAAGGAGCGGTCACTATGCTATATTTCTTAACAAAAGTCCTATAGTAACCGGTCATTCCTAAGAAAGATCTCATCTCAGTCACAGACTGAGGTCGTGGCCAATCACGAATGTTGGCCACCTTCGCGTCATCGGGCTTCAACCCTTCCGCGGAGATCTCATGACCCAAGTACAAGATACGGGTGCGACCAAACTCGCACTTTTCACCGTTGATCTTGAACTTGTGCTGTCGCAGGAGACTGAGAACTTTGTCTAAGTGTGCAACGTGCTCCTCGACAGTCTTACTAAAAATAAGTATGTCATCGAGGTATACGATGACAAACTTATCCAGGTAGTCATGGAATATCCGATTCATAGCGTGCTGAAAGGTGCCAGGAGCATTGCAAAGGCCAAAAGGCATCACCACAAACTGGTACAGACCGTACCTGGTCTGAAATGCGGTTTTGTGTTGATCCTCGGGCCGGATGGCAATCTGATGGTACTCGGACTTCAGATCTATCTTACTGAAGTACCGACACCCTTGCACTCTATCTAACAGATCGTCGATGCGCGGTAGGGGCTCTCTGTTCTTCACAGTGATGGCATTGAGGCCCCTATAGTCAATGCACATCCTGAGAGTGCCCTCTTTCTTCTTAGGTACGAATAGTACTGGAGATCCGTAAGGAGAGACACTCGGCCGGATCCAACCCTTCTCTATAAGTTCCTTGAGTTGGCGGCGAAGCTCATCAAGCTCGCCTGGAGACATCCGATAGATCCTACCCTTCGGAATACTAGACCCAGGGATAATCTCTATCGCGTGGACGACCTCCCTATCAACAACCCCTGTTGGCTCTTCAAATAGATCAAGTACTTGGCAACTACTCCCTCTATCTCCGGCGGCATTTTCACCGGCTCGCCTGCAGCAGAGACATAAACTAAGTACATACCCTCCTCCTGATGTTGCTTATAGTAGTTATAGAATGCGGCCGCACACATGCATCCATGGGAATCGATCAAACTACTAGCTTTGAACTTGTGTAATCTGGCGGTCCCTCCACCTGGCAAAGTGTGCTTGACCACTTTTCGGTCCCAGTCAAACTGAGGCTGTGCCACAGAGAGGTAGTACATACCTAACAAGATATCCATAGGGAGATCGTCGCTCACTAGGAATGAGACACGATGCCTCAACTCCCCTCCTGCGAACGGGAACAGGCATTCTGCATCCTGAAGGTAGTCATTGACTACCATGCGCTGTTTGTTGGCACAGGTCGACTCCACAGGTCGACTCAGGCGCTGCACTTGCCCCTGTAAACGCAGCCTCTCAACGCACGCGCGACTAATAAAGTTCCGTGTCGAGCAAGTGTCATAATAGGCCCCGGCCTTGTGGCCGCCTACGACTATCTCGCTGACGAACATCTCACCCTTGCAAAGGGTCGATGGGTCTGAATGCGTTTGCAGGACGACAAGGGAATCAGCAGCTTGGGCCATGATGCGAGATGGCGAGGGTGTCTCCACCACCTCGTCCCTAGTAGGAACAGCTACTATTCCTACTGGCCTGACGTGTTTCCCGGAGCAGTGCCTGATGAACTGGCAACATTGCTACCTACGGGAGATGAGGATCCTACCGCCTGCCCCATAGTAGGCGGGATCTTATCGGTGACCTTCTTGTTCCTACATTTGAACTGGTTATGGCCGTATTGACCACAACGGATACATGCCTGACGGTTCCACCGATCTCTCCACACGTCCTCTGAAAGACCCGCTTTCTCCCATGGAGGAGCATTGGGGTCAACTTGATTCCTAGACCGGGAGCCCCCTCGGCGTCTACCGGTCCCCTTACCTTTTTGTTGGGTTACGGCGGCGACTACTCCACCCTCTGAAGTATCGCCACCTGCCTTTGCACCTACTCCTACCT